TATATCAGCTACTGCCTCCAGTGCGTAGCCATTCCCAACTATCAGGATCTTTGGCGAACTAAAAAGTTACAATCACCGTACAAAATATACACGGTTCGCAGCTGATGATGGTTAAGGAGCGATTGGGGTCTATGAAGATCGGGTAAGGTGAGTTAGCTCCGTGGCTTGAGCGCATTTTGCTGGGAATATCAATACCCCCAAAAACTGTATCTTTGTGTGTGCTAACGAACTTTAAGGAGCGGGGTCTATGAAGATCGGGTAAGGTGAGTTAGCTCCGTGGTTTGAGCGCATTTTGCTGGGAATATCAATACCCCCAAAAACAAACTCTTTGTGTGCGCTAACGAACTTCCGGCATTTTCCAGCTCAAACTATGAATATATATATATATATATATATATATGCATTGTCATTTTTCCGTTGATTCGCCTGTTGATCGCGTGTTGTTTGGATCATTAGAGTTGTATCCGAGGTTTTCCGTCTTCTTACTATTCGCCGTGCTAGGAGTCTGGATCAAGCAACGTAGCTGAGGATAGAATATTGTCACAGTCCGCATATCTTATTGTTTGCTTGCTGCGTGGTCGAACCGTAACATATTTGGCGACGCAAGATGGAGGCAGAACAAGTCAAAGCAATGTTTGAGCAACAACTGCAACTCATCGAATTACTTACGGAGCGACTATCAGCTACATCTTTGACTTCACCGGCTGCGTCGAGCGTCCCACAGTCGGTTGGTGAAATCGATGGCGGTATCAATGAGTTTCGCTATGAACCACGGGCTGGCATAACGTTTGATGCTTGGTTTCGTCGCTATGAAGACCAGTTCAGGGTCGATTTTTCAATTCAACATGATGGTTGGAAGGTTTGCCTCCTCCGCAAACCTGGACCCGCAGAGCATGATAAGTACGCTAACTATATTCTGCCAACGAACCCATGCGATTTCACTCTTGATGAAACGGTCCACACGCCTTCGCAAATATTCGGTGAGCAAACGTCGCTTTTCAGCATCCGTTATCGATGCATGAAGCTGGTGAGGAGTGACGCAGACGACTTTCCCACATATTCTGGCCTCGTGAACCGGGAATGCGAACGGGTGAAACTCGGATCGTTAGCGGAAGATCAGTTCAAGTTGCTGATTTTCATACGCGGTCTACAATCCCCGAAGGATGCAGAAATCCGTACCCGACTCCCCAGCTGCATCGAGCATGACCCATCAATGACGCTGCAGGCCATCACCTCGGAATGTCAGCGATTGCCTAACCTGAAGCATGACATCGCGATGGTTCAAATTGGGGGTCATGGCGGTTCCGCATCTCATGCAATCCGTCAGGCTACGCAACAGCTTGGCCCTGTCAATTCGAATCTTCTCATAGCTCTCCACCGAAAGCGTAGAGTGAACCGATGTCATACTGGTTTTTGAACTTTAGTCCATCGGCTATCTGGTGTCCGTATCTGACAAAAACACATTCAAAAACACTAAGTTACAGACTTGAAAGGCCTCAAAATCTGCCCCCGCATAATAATCCAACTGTTTACCATGAAGATGCAGTAGCAGAGCTTAGTTTATTTCCATTTCACTCCTTATCTCCAAATCCATCGATCAGTCAGGACGTTCAGTCTAACGAAATATAGGTGATCTCTGGTATGTTTGGATATTCGACCATTCTTGTGTCTCTCAGGATTTCAATGCTTTTCGGCTTCTCCATTATGTTTGAGTGCTCTTGATTATTCAGGTTTCTCAACCATTTCTTTGTATGGGCTCAAGCAACATGTTACTTCAGAGCACATTGTGCTGTCACTTATAGTAGGCTACGAAAGCTCCGACAAGGCTTCGGTAAGCTGCAAAACTGTTTACTGAAGAGACATGAGACTGATCCTCTTAAATCCACCCAAATGTTACAAGCAAAATCGGACACCAGATTCTTTTTCGTGGTTTATCAAATTCAGGGCATTGGGTCGTTCGTTTAAGTGACTTATTACTCATAATATCCGGCATCGGCGACGCAATCACATGTGAGTGTCTATTTGACTAATCCTATTTGGTCGGAGACAGGCTCGCTTCTGTCTATATTTTCCATGTGCACAAGCGTGGCCATTTGCTAAATGAATCGGAAGAAATGGTGGTAAATGTGAACTGCAAGAACACTCAACTGATCCTGCCACACAGAATAGGTGAGAATTGTTTATTGAAAAAACCGCAATGGACCGCTTCTTAGAGCTGATCATTTTTCGCGTTATTGTGGTGTAAATTTTTATACATAACTTTAAAACCTATGACGTGTACACGCGTTCAAGGCACATCTATAATTTCAATTTGTCGATTTACGATTTTTCCTTCAAGTCCACTCATTTACTGATTTGCCTAAAATTACCTTTAATAGCGAGGATCAAAAAATCGACGAGGAACTTGAATGCAATTTTGAAAAAAACTTGTCAATGCAAGATAAACCGTCAATAAATGGCTTATCTTCAGCGATTTCACTTGAGCTTTTAGCTAACTCAACCACATAAAACATGAAGCACAAACAGAAGTGCTTATTTTCAAAGTCTGTGATGTATTATGAACACAGTGAGCGAGCAATCCTGATTTTTGATTCTCCGTGATCGTAAACGGTGTAAAACGTTTTCAGAAACGGGAGTCCGAGTGTCCAATGCACGTCACCAGGGCTCGCAGCTTCGAAGGTACTGAAGCAGAACTCTGGAACTGCTGCACGTCTCCCTCCACGCTGAAGATGAAACACAGGTCTCACATTATGAAGTGCTCGATGGGAGAAGACCAGCTCTTCAAAACCAAAAGATTAGATATATGCGGTTTACAGCCCACTGTTTCCTATTTCGCCCGTTCCACACGAATTGATTTAAGAGTCCTCTTCCATATGCTGTTGTCTTACAAATAAACTAACCCAAACTTTACTTCAAAATCTACTGACACCAACAACGTGGGATGAATTCTGTACAAATCTCTCTTACTATAAAGACTTTTTCGCAACGGAAATGACGAATCTCATACCCTTTGTTTTGGTAATGCTCGTATATTACCACTGAGATAGAGCGAAACGGATATTTTTTCACCATTTTACATGATACTTTTCTTCTTCAGGTTGCCACTAGAAAACACTGAGTAGGCTTACCTTCCAAATATATTCAGTCCAATCCACCTTGAGTTGATGGCCATTGACAGTAAAGTACACCGTTGGATAGGTGTGAATTGTACTGCAGTCTACCAACGTCAACCCAGAGCCAGCTGCCTCAACCCGACTGAACCTTTGCAGAATCCTGTCTATCTCGGTAGATGGACCTAAAATTCGGTTTGTACCGGAATCGAGTACTGCCCGAATTTCTCCAAAGGCCAGAACTTCGTCCCCAACCTTGATTCTGTTAGAATGCGGTGAAGAAACGCAGAGGAAAAAGATACCGCGCTCCGTGATACTTGAAAAGTAATAAGTTGGACCGACAAAACAATATTGATTAGTAGTTGAGTGAATTGGGCTTTTGTTTTCACATCGCCTTCATCTGGCACAATGATTTCCATTTTTCCATACGGAATACGGGAGCACTAGACTGGAGTTTCACTCCTGTCGGAACTCATCATCAATATATACTGTTGTTGGTGCCAAAATTTCAACCCAGGATATCTGACCTACAATTCCAGCATGTTATCTTTGCAATGGTCCCTCAAAATAGTCCTACAGTACCACCGAAAAATGTATGAAGCAACAGTGGTTGTCATCTGCCTTTTTTCACAAAAGTTTTCGTACTTATGTGCTTCTCAGTTCACGTATTCTTGAATCGCAACAGTACAAATGGAACGGATTATCTCACTCCTGATAAACAAAGAAGTTCCGTTTTCCTGAAAACTACTACTGCAATCAAAGCCTGTCCGATAAAATATTACTAAAATCTAATAAATCCACTTTGAGACTGACCAGCAATTCAGCTTTTTATGGTAAACATGTCAACATTTCTGATGATATATACACAAGAGGACACGGAGATATGGGTAGGTTTGGGTCCATCTCTTTCGATGGATGCTGTGTGTCCCTAACGCGCATACAATACCCTACTTCGTCCGTGCCCCTCAAGCCACTTAGAACGAGCCTAGATGTTGCACATTTCATTCTGGGGGTCTCCGGTGATCCTGACGCAATGGTGCGTTTTATCTACAATGTGGAAGTTGCACTCATCCCTAAGACTGAAAGCGCAATTTACTGGACTGGATTCCAGTAATCAGTCGACTTTGCGCTATGCAGTTGTCTGACTCAATTAAGATTAACGCAGGTCGATGCGGTAAACGTTGTTTGTTTGTCGTGTCTGCATACGCCCCAACAGGTAGCAGTTCTGAGACTGGTAAGGACTTTTATCAAGATCTGTCACGACTGCTTCTGTCGGCACGAAGGACGGATATAGTAATCCTGGCAGGTGAAATGAATGCCCAAGTTGGATGACTCAGTCCGGAAGGAGCACAGTTACGTGGTCGATAAGGGAGTCGATGCTGAGCGTACAGATAATGGGGAGTGGCTCCTTCACTTGTGTGCAGATCATCGTCTGTTCCTGGCCAGTACGGACTTCCAGCACAAACGCACACTCCGGGTTACTTGGAGGCCACCTAGCACAAGGCATTCGTGGAGTCAGTTGGAAGAAGCGTTCAGCTGTAGCACCCTTCCGATGCCTAGCTGCCATGCCACCCGAAGGAAGCACGAGGGCTAGGATACTGCCAGGTTGCCCAAGCCTAGACAGGGAAGTCGAGTGGCAGAGCTCGGAACCACGAAGCTTCCGGTCAGTAAGTTCGCGCTCTAACCACTTGGGCCATCTCGCCCAGTCAGTTGGACCATATGGCAATCAATTACCGATGGAGAGCCTCAGTTAATGATTGTCGTTCCTTATGGGGTACGCAAGTTGACTCTGATCACGCTATTGTGCCGGCTCGCTTAGCACTTTGCTTTCCGCCAGCACTGCTTACAGCTTTGTTCATCAACTTCGACAAGTTTCAGTAGCTGAAAAGTATCGATCTGATCTGGCTAGAAAGCTACTGGAAACGCACAGTCATCTGGACGACGAAGATTGCTTGGAGAACGAATGGAGGCGCGTTAAGGAAACAGTGCTGTCAGCTTTCAGAACTTTGTCCAGCCCATCTGACTCGACTCACTGAACACTGGACATCTAGATCAGCATATCTTATTACTTTCAGAAAGGCCATAAAAGCAACTAGCTACTATGATGGTACACACAGATCCCTCAAGCACCGGATAATCAGGAGCTGAAAGAGTGACAGAGAACGCTGGTGGATTTCAAAGGCCCATGAGATGGAGAAGGCTTTCTTTGCATGCAACGGACGTGCCCTGTTTTAACTGTTTTGATCAACTGATCAAAAGAAGGCAGATGTCAGTGAGACAATTTGCGGAAAAAAACGGAACGGCATTTCACTTCCTGACTCGTTTTCTGGAACGGTGGGCTGAGCAGTTCCAAGAACAGTTCACTTAGTCTCCGTCAACACAACCGCTGGAAGAACCAAGCAGGACCGAATGTAACATGGACACTAATCTACCATCAGCAACCGAAATCTAGTGTGAGACTTCAATTCTGACAAGGCACCCGGCCCGGATGGTCATCATCATCATCATCATCATCGACAGCAACATCAGTGTTGCCACTGATGCTTGACTGCCGTACAACCATAA